CTCTCTCTCTCTCTCTCTCTCTCTCTCTCTCTCCTTTATGTCCTCAAACTCTCCGTGAAGAAAACTGCATTCCTGACGGATGTGACGATTTGCCCAGTCAATTCAAGCGTAATTCCTGGAAAGATGGCATACGATGGTCATTATAGCGCCGCTTTGCTCGATGTCCGAATGTGTTTTACGTCGCTGTATCTTTGTTTAGCTGATAACTCTTTCTGTGTGTGTGTGTTAAATTGAGATGCAAAGCTGGTCGCTATGAGAAAGCGATCTCGAAGATTATAGAGCAGTATCTGTCTGTATTCTTGGGCAGTATCGACCTGTGGTCTGGGTCTGTCAGGTGTAACTCCTGCAGTGACTTGGAACCTATCTTTCAGAATATTGATGGCAGGATGGTAGCAAAGACGCATCCTCGCCATATTACGGGCAGCTATTACAGTTTGGAGTATTCAAGTTGCACAACAGCTCTCCTCGGGGCTTAACCTTGACGTCTTGTACAGCAGTTCAAGTAAAACTAAAACCAGCTGGAATGTGCATGTAACCTGTTTGGGGTTTTTTCGGTTCTATAATCGCTAATGTATTGATCTAAACTCAATTTAGACAATTTCATAATTTTTGTGGAACATAAGTCACAAAAAGCGCTAATTTGCATACGGGTCACGTGACTCCGTCTTTAAATTTAGTTCAAGAAAACAACAACCTCCACTCTGTTTTATCAGCTGTTTTCTGTGTCCAGGTTGTACCCACCTGCTCTTAGACTTCGTCCTGCCTTCTATCTTCTTTCTTCAGTATTATACCCAATGCCAAATGATAATCGCATGCAAGTCGTATCGTGAAACTCTCATACGGAGTGTCCATTTGGGGATTGGATCGCCAACCGATCACCCGACTCGTCGCCTGGAAACAAACACATTTGTTTTTTAGGCGACGGGTCGGGCGATAAGTTTGTGCCAAGGAAGCCGCTCTGCGTCCTCAATCTGGCTAGCAAACCGAACCGAACCGAACCGAACCGATCATGCCAATGGGCACTGGGTATTACATAAGTATAAGAATTGAGTTATGGAGTAGGGTTAAGAATAAAAGTGCAGTCCTGCGTTTCAGTAATTCCAGGGGTTTTTTTTTTACATAGGGATTCATTGAACGCTACCCCTCCACGCCAAATCTAACTCCCCCAGTGCCCACATTTGGCAATACTGACGCCTCAGATATAACGTCATTGCCTGTGATACTGCCTCACTGATGTCAGCCACATTGCTCACAATGATATGTTATGATTAATGAAGAATAATAAATGAGTGAATGCAGACCATTACTCACATTTGACCACCGTCGACTTCACAATTCACAACTCCGAAAGGAGGAGGAGATAATGGCTTGCAGCTCCTCTGTTCTGTAGATGAATGAAAAAAAATGAATCAATCAATGAATGAATCAATGAATCAATCAAACAATGAATGAATAAAATAAAAATCCCAGTAAAAAAGGAAATGCAGTCGAACCTGCCCTAGCAGCCAGCTTCCGGTATAAGACAATCACTTATTCAAGCGACCACTTCCTATGTCCACCCTTGCGTATTTTTTAAAACATTACAACGGCACGGTGTAAGATGTCCACCTGTCTAAGACAATCACTTTTCTCCTCGACAAAGGGTGGTCGTCTCAGACGATTTCGACTATATATTCTACACCTCTATCAAGACAGCTCAGCTCTTTTCAGAAATTGCAGAAGACAAATTATGACGAATATAAGAAAGCGACAGGCAAATTTCTTCGGACACTCAATACGGAAAGAAGCATTGCAGAACATTGTAACAACAGGCAAGTTTGATGGAAAGAGAGGCAGAGGCAGACAGAGGGAAAAAATACTGGACAAGATGACAACATGGCTAGGAGCAGTAAGAAGTAAGAACAACAGACACCATTGCTGCAACGCAAGACAGAGGGAAGTGGAGGTCCATGATCGCCCACGCCTGTCGGCAAGGCACGGGATGATGATGATTCTACACCTGTCTCTCTCTCTCTCTCTCTCTCTCTCTCTCTCTCTCTCTCTCTCTCTCTCTCTCTCTCTCTCTCTCCATCTCTCTCTCTCTCTCTGTCTCTCTCTCTCTCAGTGGGTGGTTGGCGGGTGCTCTGGTGTGGTGTGCTTCTTCTTTCCTATCAAACATATATCGTCCTTATCTCCCCTTCTTCTTTTTTATGTTTGTTACTCTCTTGTAACACCCCTAACTAATCTTCTGGCGCTCATATGACCGTATGCAGTTGCGAGCGCCGTAAAACCCTCTACTAAAACACAAAAGTCTCTCTCTCTCAGTTTAGCTCATTTCAGATGCAGTCTGCCTCGCCACTGCCTGTAAAGACTATCTTTGTCAGGTTGAGCGCGATAATATAACGTGACTCAAGAATAACAAAGTTCTATCTGCTCAGTATCTAAGTTGGAGAAATTTGACAGTTAAAAAAGTTTGAGTTTCACAACACGTCAATCTTTTCGAATGCAATTCTTTGAATGCTTTGATAACGACTCCAAATAATCTTTGATACAGATAGATAGAACATAAGTTAGTTTCTGACCTCAAGGCCTTAAAACTCAAAAAGGCCCAAAAAGTTAGAACTTTGTAATTCTAAGGTAACAAAATGCCAGCAGACAGGCGGTGATACTCAATAAAATAACTACCCCACTCACCAAAACATGAAATTATGGTTGTTAGCGACGAAAAACTCTTACCGAAACTCTTGCCAAAACCTGACATTATGGTTGTTAGCGCCGTAAAACACTTACTAAATCTCTTACCAAATCTCTTTCCACATCTCTTACCAAATCTCTAACCTAACCGAAACATGAATAATTTACCGTTTCCGATTGGACAGCCCAGGAGGTCAAAGGCCAGAGCGGGATGACCTTGCCATGTGAGTGGGTTAATGCGGATGAACCGAGCCTCATGGGGGCAGGACAGAAGGCGGGTGACCTCTGAACTGCTGTCTGTGCTGCCCGAGAGAAACTGAGAATGGGGGAGTGGGGAGGGAGGGGGGGGGTAAGAAAATAAAATACGGTTACAGCCCTACAAATTGGAATTGGAATTATATTGTAACTGCAAGTTCTAAGACCTCAAGACACATTAATGTCGCCTTGTGTCTTTTTGTAGTTGGGATGCCTGGGTACTGTTTGTCATGGGGATGAGGAGAGGAATCGGGTTGAGAAGGATACAATTTACGATCTAGACAGACAGATAGACACACATACACACACACACACACA